TAGCAACAAAAAAAATGGAAAAAATTTGTCAACAAAAATTTGTTTCCCTATATAGCTGAAAAGATTCCCCTGTTCATGCTGATCAAGAATATGTATGATATATAGGGTCGGAAATGACTCCTTCACTGCGTTTTAAGCTGCACAATGTGTTAATAGCTGATTAAATATGCCTGAATTATTTCTTCTTCTTTTTTTCCAGTGCACTGTCGTATGTAAAAATGCGTTTCTTTTTCGTCAGACTCAATGCCAGGACCCATCCCTCCTTTGTGGTTAGGACGTACTGCCTTTGTTCGGTGGCTTTTCGGTGGCCTCCGTCTCGCATTAGACACGCATCATTTGCGCGTTTGTAATCAGGCGAAAGTGTTTCGACTTTCAACGCTCTACTTGTCGTCCTTGGTCCTTTTGTCTCAATTGTTACTCAAATACACACACACACACACCCAGGCACACAATGTAAGGCGTACATTTCTAGTTTAAAGTAAAAGTTTTTCAATTTCAAGTTTTATGGGCGACAAGTTCGCGTCCAACGTCCTTCTTAAAAAGAAAAGAGAGAAAAGTGCTAGGTGGGAATTTCGCCTTATTTCGTTTTATTTCCCTGGCTGAACGTGCTCACAATTTCTGATGCAGCCAGGACTTTAAGACGACCCCTGAGCTACCTTTCCCCTCTGCAACCAAAGTCACACCGAACAACAGGTGTCCTTTGTGGCCAACACTTGGGTTCCGCTTAGCTTAACCCGTGGACTCGGACGCTGATTTCAGTTGGCCTCGTTTAATTTTACGCTTCAGCTGTTGGCCAAAATCGCAACGGCAGACAATTAAATTCCATTAGAGAAAGATGGAGGTGGAATTCGCAGCTCATTCTCTGTAGTTTTTCCTGGAAAATTTGCAACAAATTCACACCTTATTCTCTGACATTTCCATTTTTCTTGGCTGCTTTTTTCTTTCTCTCTCTTCGAAAGATGAAACTAAAGTTGCTATATAAATATGCAAGTTCTGATTTCATGTGAACAATAAAGGGGAAGAAGGAAGGGAGCTCAGGAAACACTATATAGTATTCCATGCATTGTTCCAGCCTCTTCCCCCCTTTGCTCATTGGATTCCTGCCTTGGCATAAGTTTGCTTCCGAAAACTTTCCCCCATAGCAGCAGAAAGCAGCTGAAAATGCCGAAGCTAGAGCTGAATTTTATGAAAATAGCTGAAATAATTTTCCATTAAATTCTTGTGCATGAAATTATCGCATTAAAACGAAACAAAAGCCGCTTTTTTTGCAGGAAAAGGGGAACCCCTTTGCCCGTCCACGTCCATTGTTTGCTTAAATTTTGTACAGTTCCTCAGCTTTCGTCCTGCTCCTGCTCCTGCTCCTGCCAGTACTCTTCTGTTATTTGCTTGGTGTTTTACTGTTTGCATTCATCTTCATTATTTGTTTGCACTGCCCCCCAGAAGTGGGCGTGGCAGGGAGACTCTGGGAAAGAAAGTTGCCCGGCTCCTCTACCGTTGAGCACTTGGCAGCGAAAGTTTTTGACACAGTTGATTTGCATTTGAAATCCTTGCTCAGGCTGGAGATCCTTCCGAGCTCCTCCGCCCCTTTTTGGCTCTTCCACCTCACTGACAATCCGCCCACACACACACACACACACACAATGATTTATGGATTTTCATCATATTCTGTTGATTCAGGGAATATTTATGATTTCACCCAGTACTTCTCCGCGTCTGGCGTCCTTGGGAAATCTCCTCCTCCTCCTGCTCTTATTCATATTTTTCGGCAGCATTTTTGTAAATAAATTTTTCAAAAAAAGAAAAGAGGAAAAACGGAAAATTGTACTTGCAGGACAACAAATACAAAACAAAAGCAGAGGGGAAAACGGAAAAACAGAATGGAGAAACAAAAGCACAACGAGCAAAAATGCTGAATATGCGCAAATTGAATTTGATTTTTAAGCACTGATTGCTTTTATTGTTTTGCTCTGCTCTCCGTCAGAGAATCCGGGTTATGGCGGAATTTTAAATAAAATATTCTAAAAAAGATAAAGCCCAGAGAGAGGAGGGGGACTGAACTATATACCCTACAATCTATAGGGTTATTTCCGGCAAAGGTCTACGAAAAAATAATCCTGCCAACATCTATATTAATTTATTGATATTAAGCTTTTTGTGTTGAATGAAAATTTGCATTTGCATTTTTTCGCAGCTGCAGGAAACTGGAAAATAGTTTTTTGCTGCCACAGCAACAATTAGCTCAACATTTTCAAGCTCAAATTTGATTTTTGCAATGCAGAAAAAGCGAGAGAAAGAAATAAAAAGAACCCATTAGTCGCGGAATGTGCACAAATAAATACTTAATAACCAGACACAACATTAGCATGAGAATAAAATGAAATTACAGTCTTTAAAATAAATGTATGCGAAATTTTCGCCAGCCAGAAAATGACAGAAAGTATTCAAGTAAATGCGAAATAAATTTGCCAAAAGACAAAGCCAGGGAATGGTGGAGCCTGGGGTTTCTTTTTTTTGGGAATGTCAATTCCCTGGGCGTTGGAATGTGCCGCCTTCGCCGCCAGGAGACGTAGAAAATCAATTTCGGCTACAAGTTTTCAATAAAGTGAAAATAATGTCGCCTTTCTCTCTCTCTCTCTCTCTGCCATTATCCCCGGGAGATAAGGGGAAAGGCATATCGAAGATATAGCCGAGCAAAGAGAGAGCGGAGTGTCAAACAATGAGGGTCGTTAGAGGCGGCAAATCGAAGAAGGAGCAGCAGGAGCAGGAGCAGGAGGAGGACCAGGAGCAGGAGCAGGAGCAGCCACCGAAGTCAAGTGCACAAAGCGTCAAATGAAAAGGAAACCCATAGGAGGGGGAGGGATTCCTGGGGCCAGAGACGGTTGGGGATAAGTCTAGTGATGCGTAAAGCAACGCACTGTCAAAAAATACCCCCCTACATCCTTGGTGGAAAAGTATCAGCAAAATCCCGACGGCTGGTGTTTATTTATGTGCGTTGTGCCTTGTGATAAATCACTGACATTGATGCCCGCAGACAGAGAAGCGGCGAGAAAAGGTTCTCCTTTTCCGAGTTTTCCCCCCAAGCCTTAACCCATTTTGGCTCACACCTAGGACTCTGAGTTTATCTGTTTCCTATTTTACTTTCCTTACTTTTAGGGATATATATGCAATACTTTTATTGAATATAAAGACTTCTAATCTAAGTGATTCTATTTTAGTATAAAGATCTATATTTAAACAAGTTCCTTTTAAAGATACTATTTCTAAGACAGCTATATTTTATAAACCCCTTAAAATCACCTTTATATATTGTTTACATATCTCCTTTTTGCATAATTATTACATTAATTGTACTATTTGCAAAGGAAAATCATTTTTTCTTTTAAATCAGTCTAGAAATTTAAGTTTCTCTTTAAAGTAGAAGCAGTTATTTTCCTATATATTATAGACCCCCTAAAATCACCTTTATATATTGTTTTCATTCTCCTTTTTGCATAATTATTACATTAATTGTACTATTTGCTAAGAAAACCATTTATACCTTTAAAACCAGTATAGAAATTTAAGTTTTTCTATAAAGTAAAAGCAGTTCTTTTTCTTACCCTTAACTTAAACCACAGATTAGGTCGATTTACGCTAAAAGTTCCCATTAGGGGAAGCCGATCAAAAGGCTGTTACGTAAACATATCCTTCTCTGTGTCGAAAGTGGGCTAAACCAACCACCTCACCTCGTCTTATTTACAATTTTTTGGGCACCAAACTTTAAAGGACTCGAAATAGGCAAAAGGCAAGCCTAACAAGTGCCCAACCCTCTCCTCCCTTTCGGCATCTAAGGGGGTGTATAATAAGTTTATCAGAAGTCAAACAGGCGTCGCAGGAGGACAGGAGGACGTCCTTGTGGTCCTTGATGGCGCCGCCTCGCAGGAAATAAAGCGGCGCTCAATCACGGTCGCACGCCGGAAATCGGAAGTTAGCAGGCTCACGATATCGAGGGGAAAGGAAACCCCCTTCCCCCCTCGAAGCAGAGAAACCAAAAACCGAAACAGGAACTGTGTGTAGCTGAAGCTGAAGCTGAAACTGAAACTGAGACACAAAACTCGGCGGGAAAAGTTGGAAAACTGGTTTTGGCAGCGCCAGATAAAATGTTGTTGATTGCCACGCAGTTGAGCGTTAATAATTATTATTTTTGTGCCATCAGGCAGCAGGATCTCCCTTTCCCTCTATATATATTTTATAAATATATATATATATATAAACTATATACCATAAAGACCTGATTTTTGATGGTTAACAATTTGTGGCAGATTTATTTGTGCATTAACCTCGAATTTGCACTGCTTCCAATTCGATTTCTCTTGAAATTCTTTGGGTTTTCCCTTCACGTTGCCGCAGTGATTATCGAAGGACCTTCCTAGTGTGTCCCAGTATTAGTGTGTGTATGTGTGTGTGTGTGTCAATAAATTCCTTCTAGGAGCAGCAGCAGCAGCTGCTTGCCCCAAAACTTATTGATGCTGGTCATGTCCTCAGCTTAGTAATGGCAGCCCCACAGCTGTGGCATCGGCATTGATTTTTCTCTCGGGTCTCTCGGTCTCTCACTTTTATGGCTTTTCATTTATGAAATTCTTTTGACAGCCACTTTTTGCAACGAGTCCTGGCTTAATTATAAGAATTTCCACCATTAAAGCCGTCTCTGAGGGTTCAAATCGAAGGCAATAAAATATGCAAAGAGTATATGTATACCAAAAGGACCTTTTTTCTGTACTCCTGTAACCCTCGTCAGTCACTCTCCCGAGCTAGCTTTTAGGCTTCTCTTATGGTTGAGAGATTGTCGCGGAAATACAGAGGGTATTCTTGGAAAATTATAAATATATATAGCAGCAAAAATAACTGTCATTGTTTCAGGAATTTATTGGTAAAACTTGAGCTAAATTTAACAACCGAGAAACAACAAGTTTGGAAATGAATTTGACTAAAAGAACAGGATAAAGGCTGTTTAAACTCACTTTGATTTATGCATCCTGAGCCGCAGCCTCAGCCAGGCTTCGCCGCCATTGAGCCAGGGTTCCATTCCTTGACAGAGTTTCCTTAACAGGACCTTGGACTCAAAACTCGACTAGAAGTATTCTCCTCTTAGTTTAAATATTGTATGTTGTTGCTGGTTTTGTTCAATGCATTCTGCATATTTTCCTGCATTTTATGTGATTTTATTTGCTGTGTTTTATGTGCCTTTTAGCCTTAGAAGAGCCAGCTGTAAAAATAAAATATATAGAGTTAGTTGGAAGCGAGTGTATGTATATCTTTAATTAAGATAAATATTTATATGGATAATAAATTTTGCGGGACATAAAACTGTTCAATTTATATCGATGACAGCCGGCTATTTTTGGCGTTTTAAGCCCAATTACAAATACAGGATGTGTGTGTTTGTGGGATAATAATTCCCATTTTTGTTATTTTCCCTAATTAATATCCAGTTGTTTTTGGCTTTGCTATTTGGCGGCGAGTCGAACGTGATTATTTGATCTACATTCGTCGATAATTACGGATTATTGAAAGTTTTGTGTTGAAATAATTTTCGTGATCCCGATCTGGGGTGGCATAAATAATTACCAAAAAAAAGGAAATCAACATACAAATAATTGGACATTACCCCAAATCAATGGAGTTTATCGGAAATGAAGGTTTTTGTGTGACCAATACCCATGTTTTCCCCAATGATTGTTGTCTAGAAATTAGGTTAATTAGTGGTCAGTCGTTGGTTGTGCAACCTGTGTGTTGTTATTATTATTATTATTATTATTTTTGTCCTGTTATATCATTCTTTTGAGTTCTACTCCTTCCCTTTTACAATTGCACAATTGCGGCATATCTTTGCCACCCATTTTCCCATTTCCATTCCCATTTCCCCTTAACCCATTCGTGCCTGTGTGCGTCTGGCAGTAATGAACTTTTATGCATTGTCATTAACTTTTATTGTATATATCTGCCATTCATCCAAACATATATACCCACATGTACACACATATAGTGTCGCGTTGCTGCTGGCATTATAATAAATTTAAATCATTTGTTGCATTTATTTTAATTATGCGCAATTTAAAATGCATTATGCAGCCCGATGGAAGAGGCTTTAAAGGGCTAGGCGCGTTTAGGGCAGGCGTAATTTAATTTCGTTGACAGAAATTCAATTATTTGCATTTCCTATCATCCCTACGCACATACACAAAATGTTTTTTTGTCAAAATGGGAGTGGAAAATCAGGAGCAGGAGCCAGGCGGCGTATACGTGCTTTCATTAAATTTTTATTTATTCGCCGCTCATATTTCCACAAGGCAAATGTGTCGTCTGGCTGGCCAACAAATTCTTTTGGTGTAATTTCATTACTTCAATGTTTTACTTTGCTGAATTATAAATGAGAAGGAGACCCCCAGCTCCTGCTCCTGCTCCTGTTCCTGCTCCTGCTCCTCCTCCAGTGACGCAGCCAGCTTTTCCCGTTTATAGCTAGTCATGTGTAGCAGATGTTTTCTGGTTGTAAAATTTTCGAGGGTGTCCTCCGGTGACTTTTTCTGGAGGGGGCGTTGGTGTCAAAGTTCGCCCCCAGCTCCTTATGAACAAAAAACAAACGGCTTCAATGAGCCCACCTCAATATCCTCGTGTATATATTTATCCCTCTTCCCCCTTCATTAATATTTGATAATGTGTGGCTGTCAGTTAGCCGTCCAATTGAGTGATTTCCATGACTCTCCAATGCCGCCCTCACCTTTCGCCTGCTATTCTATTAACGTTTTCGTTCGTTTTTCCCCGATTTTCCTCTTGTAATTTTTCACGTTTCAAGCGGCACAAGTTGCACTGGTTCCCACAATTGCAACCGGGGGTTTTTCCCCCCTTTGAAGTGCCAGCCATTGACACATGACCCATTGGAGCACCCCCACCGTCTGACGGTTCGTCGTCTGGTCTTTTGACAGTTTGACATCTGTTGTGTTGTTGTTCTTGCTGGTTCTGGTTGACATTTGGACAAAATGCTGAGTAGTCAGAGGGAGGGGAGCATTGAAATTGAATATTATTAGCTCATTTCAGTGTAATTGCTTTAGCTTTAAGTATGCTAAAGGTAGAGAGTGTAATGGTAATGGAACTTGGTATAAAGTCCAAATTACACATATCACACATACGCCGTGTGGACAATCTATTTGTGTGTGGGCGGTGCCATTCAATTCACTATCATTCGCTGCCCATTGGATCCAGTTAGGAGTTGAAAACCAGGTTACAAGGTGGTCAAACAAGTAAGATGAGCTAAAGTCAGGGTTTTGATAACCATAGATTAGTATTGGAAGGGAAAGAGAGCGAAATAGTTAGTAGATTGCATGTGTATTATCCTTAAAATTAGCTTGTTTGACTTCCATTTGTACTTAAACTCTTGGGAATTATCTCACAAGGTAATTAATTCTATATATATTATATATGTTATAGAAGGTGGATAAGAACAACAATAAAAAAAAGCTACAGACAGGGTGCTTTGGGTCGATATTTATCTATATAATTATAAGACAATTTTTCTACAACCCAAAAAAATAAAAATCTCATAACTCAGCCAAAAATCCATTAATTTCGATTCGGAAAGCTATTCTGTGCTAGTTTTCAATAGATTAATAAGTCTGCATAACTTAATTGAAGTTTTAAAACATTTCATTTTTGTAAATTTTTCAAAATGTTAAAGATGGAAAAACAGCATATAAAATATTGAAACAAATTTTAAAAATTAGATTTCTCTCCTAGATACCTAGAAAAATTCCTCTGTTCATACTGATCAAGAATATATATGCTTTATAGGGTCGGAAACGACTCCTTCAATGCGTTTTAAGCTTCTGAACAAAATTATAAGGGTATAAATATTCGTATTCTTTGGGTCGATATTTGTATGAGAATTTTACTACGACCAGCGTCTTAAAAAACGCATAACTCAGCCAAAAATGCATTAATTTTGTATCGGAAAGCTGTTCTTTGCTAGTTTTTGCTAGGTTAAAATTCTGCTTACCTAGATTGAAATTTTAAAATATTTGAAATTTTGTCAATTTTTCAATATCTTAAAAGTGCTTTTTTAAGAACAAAATTTTGGAAAAAGTTTTTTAAATTTTGTTTTCTCTCTAACATGGCTAAATAGTTTCCCCTGTTTATGCTGATCAAGAATATATATGGTTTATAGGGTCGGAAACAAGTTCTTCACTTCGTTTTAAACTTTTTACGAAATTTATGATACCCTGAATGAGTATAAATATTCAATATGATGATTTTTCTATAACCCAAAGCTTAAAAAACTCATAACTTAGCCAAAAATTCATTAATTTCCATTCGGAAAGCTGTTCTGCGCTAGTTTTGAATAGGTTAATAAATCTGCATTCCTAAATTTAATTTTAAAACTATTTAAATTTTTGTCAATTTCTTATAGTGTTAATTAGTGTAAAAACCGCTTATAAAATTTTGAAAAAATGTTCAATTTTTTTTTTGTTTCCTAAATGCCTAGAAAGATTCTCCTGTTGATGCTGATCATGAATATATATGGTTTATAGGGTCGGAAGTTACTATTTCACAGCGTTTAATGATTCTGACTGAAATTAGAGCACCATGCAAGGGTTTAAATATGGATTCAAAGAATGCGAATATTTTGAGGTTAGTTATAATCGAGTTCCGATTTGATCCAATAATGAAGTACATCATATATCGATATTTTTTAAGATCTATGTAGGTGCTCCAAATGCTCGATTTAACTTAAGTAACAACCTGTTTTTGATAGAGTTTTAAGCGGGAAGCTGGGCCTCCAATCCGAGAGGAAGCTGCCAGCAGCTGCCGGCACACTGATTAGACAAAGTTGGCCCAGCAAATTAAGGGCCAGCAACACACACACACAGAGAGGACGACAATCACGGAGTGCAAACTGCAGACTGCAGCAAGGACCAAGGACTAAGGAGCAAGGAGCAGCTGGCCAGGAGCACCGCCTGCCACAATGGCCAGGAGTCGCCATTGCCGTCGTCGTCGATGTCGGCAAAGTTTCCGGAAGCAAACAAAGATGGTCAGAAGAAAAGGATGCCAAGGTGGCAGCGAGCAAGCGGGAAAGGACACGAGCAAGGACTTCCAATTTGTGGCGGCGGCAAGGCAAAACTTTGCGACAAACAGCAACAAATGCTGGTAACCGCTTGCGCTTAACACTTTCCGTCCTGCCGCCGCTTTCCAAAAGCACTTTTAATATATTTTTAATAACTCAAAGAAGGCACAAGAAGTGATGGGGGCAGCATTGAATTTAATTAGAAAGTTCAGCAGTCGCCAGATGGATTCTTCTTCAGGTTTCACTCTGACCTGCATTTATGGGTTTTCCAAGCTCTCTCTCGCTTAGATTTGTATATTTCCTTTAAGCTATGGTACATTTTTGTGTTTGCTCCCCAAAAACCAACTCAAATAAGTTGGCCAAAATAACATTTATCAATGTCTTCGTCCCGCTCCCTTTCTTTTTTTTATTCCTTTCCAGGATTTTGTCTCTCCGACTACGAATTGAAGTGCATCAAATAAGTTGTGTGTGTGCATGCGAGTTGGAAATTTGTTTGTCTGGGCGGAAAATGGAAAACTACAGGCACACACACACTCTGTCAAAGTATTTTATCAATAATTCAAAGTTGCCTCGAACAACTTTCTGGCTGCATTTAGACAGAGATTTTCCGAAAATCCCAAAAATTAGCTTCTCTTTTGGGTTTTTTTTTGGGAACAACGATTTTCCTGAGCCCCTAAAAACCTCTGGCTTTCGGCTTTGCTCCTTGCAGTGTTGTGTCACTTGATTAGCCAAACTTTCACCAGCATTTTACAAGACTTGCTGTAAGGTTACTGCTCTGTATCTATAACAATATATATATATTATATATGTTTATATTAATTATATTTGTTTATAAAGTGGGTGCATCTTATTACAAGGTGTATGCGAAGCCTTATTCGTGAAGTTCTTTCATGTATAATGAAATTTCAGAAACAAATGTAAAATTGATTAAAAGCGGTTAAGAAAAAGATTTTTTAATTTTTATAATTGATGAATTCATGATTTCAGATTGTTTTAGAATGCTTTAGTCTATTTTGTAAAGCATTTATTTTTAAGTGCTAGTTAAAATTTAAACAAACAATCTTATTAAATAATAAATAACTCAGTAAAGAAGTTGAACACGGCCTAAGAAAGTTTAAAGTAGTTGGAAAGTCATTAAAACAT